AATCTTGAATTCAGCTGGTTAAACAAAGATCTGCAGATCTTTATTTTAAGGCCTTCAGGGGCTTTTGTGGATAACTTTCTTATAGAGCAGATTTTCAGGGGCTTTTGTGGTCATCTTTCTTATATCACCTGCTTACTAAAATTATCTGGAGTTTCATTTCTAGCTTGGAAAAAGGCAACAGGACAATATCCACAGGCAGGACAAAACACTGAATATTTCTTTTGGATCTTGAATTCAGCCAGTCAAGCAAAGATTCACCATACAGTGGGAAAGGCAATGCCCCAAGATATTTGTTTATATTTTATTGTAAATTATTTTTATTATCCAGGGATTTAGACTCTGAGCCCTGGAAGGGTTGGGCTGTCTTTTCCTCCCCACCAAGGAGAGAGGAGGAGCAGAGCTGGGAGGGCTCCAGGGCTGTGGATGTGACTCAGGTTGTGGCTTTGTGCATCTCGTTGCAGCAGCTCTGTGCCACAGCCATGGCCACGGACTGGCTGGGCAGCATCGTGTCCATAAACTGTGGGGAGAGCCTGGGAGTGTACCAGGGCAGGGTGTCTGCTGTGGATCAGGTGAGCCAGACCATCTCCCTCACTCGGCCCTTCCACAACGGCGTCAAATGCCTCGTGCCAGAGGTCACCTTCAGGTGAGTGCCTGCCTTGCCCCCTGTGCCTGGGTGTTGGTGTGAAAACTCTGCTAAGAAAGGCAGCAGCCTCCCCTGGAATGGGAAATGTAAACCCTCTCCCTTTGAATTGTTAGCATTTTGAAATTAAGGGGGTTTCAGGCAGAGATATGGGTGTAGGAATAACAGTTTTTTATTAGGGAAGAAAAATAAAAATGCAGTGATACAAACCTGACGAGGTCTGTGGTGTCGAGATGACCCTGAGGTGTTAGAAAGTCTCTTTTTCCTGGCCCAGAGACCAAAGAAGAACACAGGGTTCCTTGGCTCTCATTCTCAAGGTTTATTTGCTCTTATCCAATACATTGTCTGTCTGACCTGCTGAGGTCTGTCCAGCAGGTTGGGTTGAGGCACACTGACTGCCCTCAGGGCAGTGTTATCTTTTTATACTAAAAATTACATGCACTTTATTTACAATAATTTTCCAATACCCATCACCTATGTTAGACAGTCTGTCTCTATCCTAAACCAATCCAAAAGAGCCACCATGACAGCAGAAGATGGAGGACAAGAAGAAGTAGACAGGACACACCCAGATTCCTCCATCTTGCCTCTTGAACCCCCATTCTAAAAACCCCAACATTCTACATTTTCACCCTGTGATAAATTCGCTGTCATTGTACTCAAACTCTTGTGGCTTGCAAATCTTCACACAAAGTTGGCAATTGTTTCCATGGGTTAAAATGAAAGGCACAGGTGGTTTTGACTCCATGTCAAGTCTCTGAGCCCCTTGCCAGGATCTGGAATCCTCCAGGGCAGCCAGAGGGATGTCCTGGGTTCTGACACAAACTGCCAGAATGAGAGCAGGAGCTGACACCCCCTGTGTGTCCCACCCCATCCCGAGGGGGCTCAGCCCTCCTGCAGTGCCAGCTGTGGCTCTGCTGCAGCAGGATCCTGCACAAGGGGGGAGTTTTCCTCTGCAGCTCCAGGGCTGCTGCAGATGGGCCTGGGCTCCCTCTGGCCATGCAGGGCAGCAGAAGCTGCTCCTCTGGGAATGCAGGGGGCAAAGGCTGCTGGGGTGTCCCAAAGCTCAGATTGGATCCAGGTAGGAATGCTTGGCTCCTCCCCTGGGCGGAGCATCTCCCATGGGATGATGGAATTTTATCAGCCACACAGTGAGACTCATTGGCCCATTAACAGGGCCAGATACTTAATAATTAATGGCTCATTAACAGAAGAAAGCAGCTCCACAGATAGGAATAGAATGCACACCCCCATTTCCAACCTAAGACAGCCTGGCTGTTGGATTATACTTTTTATTTTGATTTAGAGATGAGGTAACTGAGAGCTGTTTAAAAACTTTTATGAGAAGGGTGAGCTAATATAGATGTTATAATTTATGTTATTACAATTAGAATTTGAACTACTTCTTAATTGTCATCGTTTTTCATGAGAGGTATTTAGAGAAGTGATGCAAAGCATTCACCAGCACAAAAACTTAACGCTTTTCTTTATACCTTGGAAGGTTTTGAGGCTGCTTTAGCTTTCTCCTAATGCTGTCTCCCACCTGGGAGTGAGAACAGCACTGGGGATTGGCCAGCCCTGAACCCAGCACACTCCTTAAGGCATTAGCTGGGAAATCCCAAATTGGTGACATCTCAAACTGAACCAAAACCTCTACAGCTGTAAAACACCAGAAGTGGGTTTTGGTTTATTAATTTTTTGTTTAGCTATGTTCTAGATGTTTTAAAGCTCATAATTTAAATTGCTCTTTGTAAGTTTTACCATAATATGTTTTTTAGAATATATTTTACTATAATATCGTATTTTTATTATATATAAATACATTTATAAATTTATAATATAATATGTTTTAATATTATATTTTTATACTATTTTACATATAATTTTATTTATAATTTTATTTCTATATTCTATATAATATAATTTAAAATTATCAATATATAATGTATATTGATAATTTTAAATTATATATATAATATCTAAATCTAGAACATATAAATATATAATATATAATATATTTTTATTATATATAAATATATATGCATTTTTATCTAAATTTTTAAATGTATATTTTATATGTTTATATTTTTTATTATTTTTATTTCTATTCTGTTGTGTTGTAGCAGAGGGAACTGAGATGCTTTTTCAAAGCTTTGCCCTCAGCAGTTTTCCCACCAGTTCCTGCTAACACTGTGCTTAAAAATATAAATAGGAGTCACTGCTCAGTGCCCATTTTCCTGTTTCTTGCAATGTTGTACTTAAGGCTCTGAGTCACTCCTTTTTCAATAACTCTGACTTCTCAAAGTCAATACTCTTGACTTTTTTTTTTTACTCTGAATTTATTTTTTTTTCCCCTTGGATTTTGAAGAGAGGCACTGGGGGAAGGCAGCAGGAGATGTGTGGAGTCTCTGCTTTCACATCCCACTTGGACAAATGCTGAGTTAAAGCTGGAAGAGCCTCCTTGCTGACTTATTTCTTGCAGTCAGTGCAAATGGAGGGCTTTATAATCACTCCTTTGTTTAATTTTGGCTTCTGCCCAGTGCTAGATTAGTTTTCTTTAGCTTATTTTTTCGTTGGAAATGGGAAGTATCCTCCTTGTCTGAGCATGAACTGCTCTGATCTGAGGGTAGCATTCTGCAGAAATGGATTAAAAGTAATAGTAGCCTCAAGGCTGGGAGCAATTAATTAGCTGGGAACTGTTAAATTAATGCAGATTTCTGCAAAGCTCTGGGCCATTTGCTTCCATTTTTTGCTTGACTGATTCCTGTTTCAGCTGCAGAGCCTTTCAAACAAAATCCAGGTGCAGTGCAGGCATACTGAAGTGGTTATTTTGAAGATTTGTCATTTCCGTTGAACATTTTGATATCTGTCTGTTTGAGCATTAAAATCCTTTTTTTCCCTTGTTCCTATTGATGATGCCATCAGAACAATCCCATCAGACAAGGATGGTTTTTTTTCCTGCCAGGGTGTGTGCTAAATTCCTGCTTTTCTGCTGCTGTTTTTAGGGCAGGTGACATCACTGAGCTGAAGATCCTGGAGATCCCAGGACCGGGGGACAGCAGGCAATGCGGGGACTCGCAGCACATGGACACGGCCATGCCAGGCGTGGGCTGCCAGGTGGGGCCCAGCCAGAATGGCACTGGCAAGGTGCTGAAGAAGCCCATGTCCAGCAGTGCCCCACAGAACATCCCCAGGAGGACAGACATGAAGAGCCAGGACATTGTCATCTCCCCGCAGCAGCAGTGCTCCAAGAGCTACATGGATCGGCACATGGAAACGCTGAGCCAGTCCAAAGGCTTCAGGAGGAGACACAACTCCTGTGAGTGTGGGGCTCTCCTGGCCAGCATCTTCCCTTTGCCACCAGGCTTTGCTGGCAACTTCCCCTGGCCCACCTGTGGGTTATTTGGAAATATTTCTGACCCCATCTGAAAGGTGGTTGTAGTTAGGTGAGGGTTGTCTTGGTTTGGAAAGACAGGTGTGTGCTAAGGAAGGCAGGAGCCTCCCCTGAAATGGAGAATGTAACCCCCCTCCCTCCAAATTGGTATAAATTTTAATTTAAGGGGTTCTCAGGCAAAAAATATGGGAGCAGGAATAACAGTTCTTTAATAGGGAAGAAAATAAAAGGATTAAATGAACAATGCAGTGAACTAAACCAACACTGCCAGAGTCAGAACACAACCTGACACCCTGTGGGTCAGGGTGTTGGCAGCAGTGCCATTGGAATTGTGGCTCAGCCCTCCTGGAGTGTCAGGGCTGGTTCTGCTGGAGCAGGGATCCTGTAGAAAGGTGCAGTCTCTTCCTCTGAAGATCCAGGGGAAGGAGAGGCAGCTGCTGTTCCTCTGGGGAATCCAGTGGAGAAGCTGTGCTGGCGTTCCAGAATCTCCAGATTATATCTGGGTAGCAATGCTTGGCTCCTCCCTCTGGGCTCACATCTCCCAATGGGATGCTGGAGTTCTTATCAGCCATGCAGTGACATTCAATAGCTGTTATCAGCAGATGTCTCCCCTGAGGGAGGAGTGGTTGTGGAAGAGATAAGGAAAACTGCCCATTTAACAGAAGACAACTGCTATAGAGATAGCAAATAGAATACATCTGGCTTGGCAATCCAGGACAGGGTTGGTCTCTTGTTCCTGACAGAATCAGAGGACACAGTCTTAAATTTAGTTTGGATGTAAGGAAAAGGTTTTTTAAAAAGAAAAGAAAGAGGGATAAATTATTGTATTTGTCTGCCTGGGGAGGTGGTGGAGTCACCATCCCTGCATGTGTTTAAAAACAAGATTGGATGTGGCATTCAGTGCTGTGATCCAGTTGAAGTGGTGTTAGGGCATGGCTTGGACTCAATTATCTTAAAGGTCTCTTCCATCTCAGTGATTCTGTTTATGTAGAAAATGTCTAATGCCAGTTCCAGGGATTTCCTCATTTTGCTATCTTTCCTGTTGGAAGATTCCCAGCCTCCAGCCTTCTCCTCTAAAAGGAGCTGCTACAAACTGCAATGTGATCCTCGAGTGGGAGGAAAACACGGTGGGTTGTAGCAGCTCAGTGTTGTGTTTGCAGGGATCCTCCAGGAGAAGTGAAAGACACATGCAGTGAGACTTTCCCCCACTGTTTTGTCTTTCATGATTTTAAGACTTCCTGAGGCAGCAGTGAGAGTTCAGGATTAATGGCTTTTTTTTTTTTTTTCCTGCTTAATTTAACCTCTTGCTTTTTAAATCTCCCCAAGCTTTTCTATTTAAGGCTTCTGTACCCATAACCTATTACAACATCACCCCATACATAATTACAAATGGGTTTTGGCTGTGTTGTTAAAAATATAAATTAATAAGGGTGATGTAAAATCAGAGCATCCCAAAGTCACACATCCCTTATTTTTATTTCTCTTGATAAAATCTTCAAAATTGGGCCAAAACTGACTTTGTTCACTTTTTTCCTCAAACCCTCCTGAGCTGTCTTCCTTTCCAGACCCTCATAATCCAGTTCCTGTAATTTCAGTGTACGTCCAGCATATTTCCATGACTTAATTGTTATGCATCCAGAGTAATTCCATGATTTCATTTTCTTGCAAAATAAACCAAGGTGGGCCAGGCCAGTAAAACAGGTGTAAGGCTGTGTTTTTGGGGAGAAATTCCTATACCTCTGGAAGTCTTTCTCCCTCACCACCAAATGGGATATTTTTACCCCTTCCAGGATGTCTGGTGGATTTGGGGTGAGCAGAGCTTCACCCCACAAACAACTCATGTACAACAGGTGACTTTTAGAGACTTTGAGGCAGGTTGAGCAAGGTCCTAGGTGTAGAGTGTTAGCTTGGTTTCATTTTGGAATACAGGAGGTACAGAAGTACCTGCAAAATGTGTATTTGGAGAGTAGTGTGAGTGATGTGTGAGTTTGGAGAGGGGAATGGAATTGGGCCTGGCTTTGTAGGGAAGAATGGGCTGAGATGTCATCCAGAGCTTGTGTCCTACAGCTGAAAGTTGACCTCCTGCTGGCCTCTAGCGTGCCAAGGGAGGGCCAGAATTGCCCTTTGGAGCCCTGGTGTGACAGGAATCAATAAACACCAAACCCCAGCTCGGGTTTCCCAACAATGGCTCTGCTGCCGTGCTGGCACCGGGCTCGTGGTGCCAGGGCTGGCAGCAAAGCCTCCCACAGGGATCTCTCAGGAAGGCAGCCAGCTTGCTGCAGACTTTGTTTGCTTGTGTGCTGTACATGAAAGGGTTGTTATTCCTCAGAAACAAGAAAAGCCCGGGAAGGGTTGTTTATTTTTGAGGGAGGTGCTTTTGTGTGTGCCAGCTTGGAGTGGAGCTCTCCTCATGCAGGCAGAGCACTGGGAGCTGTGATCCAGAGGCAGCTGGAATAGGAGATCTGCCTTGTTCAGCCTGGCTTTCCTTTCCCCCCTTGCCCTTTTTTTGCCTCTTTTCTTTTCCCTGAGCAGAACCAGCTGTCATTTTCCTGCCTAGAAAGCAGCACTTGGAGAGGAACAGCTCCTGACTTTGCTCCCAGCTCCTTGCAGGCCTGTGGCACGTTCTGTGTGCCTTGTTAGGGGGCTGTGGGGCAGCCAGGGCAGAGCTCAGGATGGCTCAGGGAGCTGCCCACCACCTTTAGATGAGGTGAGCTCCTGGTTCCCGTTCTTTGTGGCTGCAGGGAGCTTTGCAGCTGTATTCCATCAGCATTCCATGCTCACATCAGCTGCTCCTATCCCTCTCTGATTTTTTGGGGCAGCTGAGGGGAGTGTGGAGCTGACAGGAGCAGCCTGAGCTGGCCAAACTCTGGCCACTGACACAAGGAGCAGGCTGGCTTTGCCTTTGTGGCACTGCAGGCTCCAGCTCATCCCCCTGAGCCCTGAGAGTCCCTTGGCTTGAGCTGCAGTTCCTGAGTGTTGGGAGAGCTTGGGCCTGTTGGGTTTGTATTCCTCATCTTCCTCCTTCAGAGCAGCAGCTGTGGCAATTCACTTCCACACCAAATCCTGTCCAGCTTTGTGTCACCTTTGGTTTGGGAGCCCTTTATCTGGGACAGAGTGGAGTTTGGTACCAAAAACTTTCAAAACCATGCACATAAATGAGTGGTTGCAGTGTGCTTACTGCAATTCTCCTTTCCTCTCTCCTAAATCCTGTTTTGTCACCACAGTGCTGCAATTCTGCTGTCTGTCCTTCCAAGACAAAAGTGCATTATTATTTGAGAAGGTTGTTTGGTTTTTTTCCTTAATGGGGAGTGGTTATTCTGCAAGGCCTGACAGATTTAGGATCTTGCTGTGGTGACTGGGAAAGCTTTCAGGTTAGTTATTAGCCAGTTCTTGAGAAAAACCAAGCCCCACACTATCTGAAATAAAACCTTGCTGAGGCAATGCGTCTCTGACTGGAAATAAACCAGGTCCACATCCTCAGCAAATCCCATTTCAGCATGACTGGAGTTAGACATGCTCAAACTGGACTTGTGCTGCTGGAGTTTGTGCCTGCTGCAAATCTTTTGGGATGTTTGGAAATCTCCTTGGATGGTTCAGAATTCTTTGTTTCTGTGGTATCAAATTGATTCTCTCCAAGTCGTTTGTATAAATCCCTCACTAATTGGATTATCTTAAACAACAGGAAATGGTTTAGTAGAGCAAGAGCTCTGGCTTGATAACTTACTCCATCTGTTGGACACTGTAGGTGATTCCTGGAACTGCAGGAATTGGCCTGAAATATTTTTTAGTAATTGCAAATGTGACACTGGCAAGGACAAACAGAATAATATTGTCAGGACGTGGAGGACAAAGGAAGAAATGAGCAAGTAAAGGATATGTTGAGCTCATAATTGTATATTTGCATCAGATGAAGAACTGAAAGTCTCACTCCAGAGAATTTGGGCTTTCCCAGTGACTTGTGGTTGGAAAGAAGTGTATTCCAAAACAGAAGGTAATGGGTAAGGAGGAGAGTGAAACAGGAGTGAGGCAGTGGACTGTGTGTTATATCACAGAAATTAATTACATCAAGGTTGAGCAAAAAGAGATCCTTTCTGTTCAGGGTTTGATGTTCTCCGTTAAAGATCACTAATAGGGAAGGAAACACCTACAGCAGTTTCTGAAATTTAGGAGAATTCCAGAGAAGGGCTTGAGTCACACACCTGCCTGAACATGGGAAAACTCCTAGGTCACAGCTGATTAGCTTGCCTCTGGGATTAAATAAAACCTGGAGAAACTGTGGGCAAGGCTGTTACTCTAACCTGGCTGCTGGAGGGAAGTCCCTGGAAGTCTCTTTGCTGATGCTCTGTTTTCTGTTGGTGTTCTATTTTCTATTTGATGTTCTATTTCTTGCTGCCTTAGCTGAGCCTGAGTAATGCCAGCTCCAGGGCTGAGCTCCATGGTGAGCACCCCTTGAGTGAGGGGACTGTGAGCAGGAGCTCCCCTCTGCCCCAAAATGCCTTTTTCCCTTTCAGGACCCACTCCCACCTTGCTTTTCTTTTGCCTTAGGGTCATCCAGCAGCCGCCACCCCAACCAGGTGACCCCGAAGAAGAGCGGCCTGAAGAACGGGCAGATGAAGAGCAAGGATGACGAATGCTTTGGGGATGACATCGATGAAATCCCAGACACTGATTTCGATTTTGAGGGCAACCTGGCCCTTTTTGACAAGGCAGCTGTGTTTGAGGAGATTGAGACCTACGAGAGGAGGAGCGGCACCCGCTCGCGAGGGACCCCCAACGAGAAACCCGCCCGCTACCGGCACGACGAGAACATCCTGGAGTCAGAGCCCATCGTCTACAGGAGGATTGTGGTGCCCCAGAACCCCCACAAGGAGTTCTGCACGGGTATGTGCCTGATGTGGACCCCAAGTGCTGCTTTTGGGGCCACACGCAGGTGGAGTTTTGCTAAGGAGTCAGCTTGATGTGGTCCAAGCAAGGTTGGGTTTGTGTGTTCACACACAACCTTTCTTTGCAGTGTTTCTGAGAGAAATACTCAGAGAGGGCAGCTGTGACTGTGCTCACAGGGGTCTTGGGATGAGGGAGGAGATGAGGATCTGACTCCGTGTTTCAGCAGGCTTGATTTCGAATTTTATGATTTCTGATTTTTATTGATTTGTTATTTTATGTGTATGAACATCTCTGTGTTTTAGGAGCAGGTCCTTCAGCAGAGCCAGCATTTTGCAGTTTAAATATATATTATATTAAAACTATACTAAAAGAATAGAAGAAAGGATTTCACCAGAAATAAGCTAAGAATAGAAAAAGAAAGTCTGAGCCACAGGCCTTTGTTATCATTCTTTCTGTCCAAGCCAGCTGACTGTGATTGGCCATTAATTAGAAACAACCACATGAGACCAATCACAGATCCACCTGTTGCATTCCACAGCAGCAATGTTTACATTTTGTTCTTGAAACTTCTCAGCTTCTCAAGAGGAAAAATCCTAAAGTAAGTGTTGCTCCAGCAGGGAGCAAAGCTGATTGTTGGGAATTGAATAAGAGGTGTTTGAATCCTTGCTTTGATTTCAGTAGCCTGGGGAACCCACATGGACTCTGAGAGGAGCAGAGGGATGGGCTCAGGATTTGTGATTTCATGGTTTCAGGAGATTTCCTCTGCTTCTGGCACTCTTTGGGTTGTAGTTCTCCATTTCTGTGTGGGTTTAAATATAGTTCATGTAAAAAGGATTTATGGAACATTTAGTACAAATTTCAGGTAACTTTAGTCTCCTTGGGATATCTTGCCTTTGATTTTAAGTAAAATGTGGGAGTGAAGGAAATTTGGGATTTCAGGAGTGGTTCTTTTCCACATCAGAATGAAATCAGATGTCAGCTCTTCTTGCAGGCACTCAAACCAACTGATATTCTGGTAGCCTGAGCAGAAGTGTGAGCAGCTCCTTGGGCTGTCATTCTTCCTCTGCCTGGAAATTCCATCTGGGGTGTGAAACGCTTCAGGGGAGGAAGCTGATGGATTTGTAATGATTTGCTGCTTTTCACTTTTGAAAAGGCTTTTTTTTTTTATGGTTCTGGTGTATAACAGTGTCCTAGTTCTCCATTTCTGTCATTCCTCTTCCTCGTGTCCCGTTCTGCTCTGGGGTGAGAGGAGAGCACAGTGGGTTGTAGCAGCTCAGTGTTGTGTTTGCAGGGATCCTCCAGGAAAATTGAAACAAACATGCAGTGAGACTTTCCCCCACTGCTTTGTCTTTGATTTTTCATGATTTTAGGACTTCCTGAGGCAGCAATGAGAGTTCAGCTTTTTTTCCCTGCTTAATTTAACCTCTTGCTTTTTAAATCTCCCCAAACTTTCAGCATCTCTCTGTGGAAGCAGCCACAGTGTGCTGTGTGAACAAGCACCTCTTCATTTTCTCTGTGATTTCCTGTCTATCATGTGGGTTTTTTTTCAAATTTCATACTTGTCAATCCATCTTCCAGCTGGCTTGTTTGAGAGGAGACAGGGCCTCTGTGGATGTCTAGTCTGAAACAAAAGCTAAGCCACTGTTGGCAGCCAGTCTGAGCAGGATGGCTGACAGGGGATTCCAGCAGCAGAATTCCTGGGAGGAAAAGCACCATGCACTGAGCAGCAGTGAGTAAATTCAGGGATGGAAACCCAATCCTGTTTGCTGCACTCCCAATCCCTTTGTTCAGCAGCTGGAAGGGGGATGCTGAGCTGCCTCTCAGTGCCTCAGAGAGCAGCTGGTGTGATTAAATCAATGCCAAGAGCTCCAAAAGCCTGTTTGCTTTTGGATGTGTCTGTGGCAGGGTTCTCCCTGCAGAGCTTTTCTGGTTTCCTAAGGGAAGCTCTCCTTGCAAAAAGCACTTCCTAGTTATGACAAAGCACTTCTTTCTCTTGTTTTTTATTTTTTCACCCTGGGCCAGTCTGAGAGATGATTGTGTTAATGGAGACAGTGATTCTGACTGAGACAGTGATTCTCTGTCTGCTGCAACAGCACAAAAACTGATGCTGGAGATTGGCAGGGAGTTCATATCCAGCTCTTGGCACTGTGGGATCCCTGTCTGTGGATCCCTGCCTGCTTTTTGATGCCATGGAGGATGGTAAAACCAAAAAACCAAACTGCTGATGTCAGTTTGGAGTCAGCCTTTCGAGTTCCCCAAAAGATTCACCTGCAGGACTTCCAGCCTGGGGTTTTATTGCTGACTGAAAGAACTTGGTATGTGTGGGATAAACACTTCAGTCCACTGGGATGCTTTTCTGAGAGCTGGTTTTGTGGAGCTAGGCAAGTAAAACACTCCTAAAAGTGTCAAGTAAAACACTTGTAAAACAGCCCTGGGTTTTAGAAGTGAGCAGGGGAGGAGGAAGTTGGGAATCTGTTTCAAGCAAAAATGAAAACTTGGAGCTAATAGAATTTAGCAGGTGATTGTGGCTGAGCTAAATCCATCCCTGGGACTCCACACTCCTAAACACATCATCAATCTTCATTGGTTTGGGCTGGCTGCTGTTGATCTGTCTGTTTATTTACTGGGAAATGCATTTGTTTAGCAAAAACTGCCTCCCTGGAAAGGCTGATCCTTGCCTAAGGTGTGAGCTGCCTTTTTGTGCTTCCAGAGAATTTAAATGTGGGTTGGCTCAGGCCTGTCTGTGTTTCTGCTGTTGGCACTAAAACTCCTGTGTTTGAACATCTCTGTGTTTGGGAGCAGGTCCTTGAGCAGAGCCAGCATTGTGCAGGAGTGCTGGGGCTCAGAGGAGTTTGCAGGAGGGTCTGTTCTTCAAACAAGCTTTCCTTCACAGTGAGGGAGTGCAGGGGCAGGGCAGGCAGAGCTTTGTGCCAGGATCTGAGGCTGGCTGTGCCCTCAGGGTGATGCCCACAGTGTGGCTTTTCCTTTGGAAAGGCTTTTCCTTGCCCTGTCCTTGACTGACTTTTCTCCTCTTTTAGCTCTTCCATGGCTGGATGTGAATATTGAATGTGTGAAGTGTTCTGGGCTGCTTTGAGCAGAGAGAAAACTTTCACTCTCCTCAATTCTGCTTCAGGAACAAACAGTGGGCCTGGGGCAGAGTCCCTTTGTCCCTCTGGCAGTTTTTATTTTTTGCTCAGCTGGAGGGAATTGTGCACTAATGCTGGGAGAGCTCACACTGGAAGGTCAGCCAGAACTCTGGTGGGATTTGCTGTAATTAAAAACAACGGTGATTAACAGAAGCAGCCCTTAAGGTTGTGTTGTTTGAGGGGCAGCAAATGTGTTTGGCTGAGCGTGCAGGCAGGTGCTTCCAGCTTCACCAGCAGCAGGGAATGTCTCATGTGCCTGGTGTGGACAGGAGCTCCAGACTGTCACACTGTGAGGCCCTGGACCTAAAACTGGGACCTGGGATTATTCAGATGATGATGTCAGGGCAGCTTGAAGGAGATGCTGAGTCCAGTTCTGCCCGAGCCAGTGCCTGGATTTATTTTAGCAGAGAACTGGAACTACAGAGCTGCTGAAATGGCCAAGGGAAAAGATGAGATCCAACCCTCTCCTTTTTCCCTGCCACTGCAAGCTTGGGAAGCATTTGGGCATCCCAGCAGCATTACAGGGCTTGTTTGGGGGAAAATTCTTTATTCTTTAACTTCTGGAAGGTTCACTCCCTCTTCTGCTGCCTTGGGATGTTTTTATCCACCCAGTGTCACTCTGCAAAACCATTCAGTCTATATCTGCCTTGTGGGTTGTTTGGGGTTTTTTTTTCCCAGGCAGCTGTAAAATACATTTATTTAATATTAAAAGGCTTGGGCTAATTTATTTTATTGCCTTCATTAGCAAACAATAAAGATGCCCTGTCCAACCCAAACATAATTAAAGTTGGCAGGGCTTCAGTTTTGTGGCACTGGTGTTATTGTTAGTGGCTTTACTCTGCCAGAGTTTATTTAACTCCCTGGGCCTGCTTTTGATGAGCCAGTCTGACTGGTTGGACCTTGCGTGAGGGCACAGAGGGGAAGTTCTCCTGGAAGTTCTCCTGGCATCTCAGCAGCTCCTGAGAGGCAGCAATTAGGACAGGCTGGCGTGCTAAATGCCACTCCAGCAGTGCCTCACATTAACCCCTGCTGGCAGCCAGCCCGTGGGGAAGGCAGTTTCCTGAAGCTGCTGCCTGAGGGGAGGATGTGCAGGGGACACAAGATCTGTGCTGAGTTGGGTGCACACAGAGTGGACATTGTCTGCTGTGTCCTTCTGCTTCAGGGGCTGGGTACAGCATTTCAGCAGGGGGTTTGTGGGTGCTTCAAAATAGAGTTTGGGATCTCCCTTTTTTGGGGTCAGCAGTGATGCTGGGAGAGGCCCCAACCTTGGGTCACTCATTGCAAATCATCCTTGGAGCTTGGAAAGCAACAGCAGGAGGGGCAGAGATGTGACTGGCAGTGTGGCAGAGCAGGGCTTGTGTGGCATGGGGCAGGTGGTGACCTCTGTGGGCACAGGACAGGGCATAGCATAGGGCAGGTGGGTGACCGTGACCTCTGTGGGCATGGGGCAGGTGGGTGACCCATGGGGTCAGTGAGTGACCCACAGGGCAGGTGAGTGACCATGACCACTGTGGGCACAGGGCAGGTCAAAGCTGCTGGCACAGCCCCAGGGCTATTCCTGCAGGGCTCAGGCTCTTATCAGCACTCAGGCATGGTTGATAACCACTCCTGCTGGTTGATGGCAGCCAGGTGACCTCTGGGGCCATGCAGGCACACATGGAGCCCTCTCTGTGTGGCAAGGCCAGGGATGAGCTCCAGGAGGGCTCAGCAGGGTCCCTGTGCCCCTCAGGGTGTTTCCAGCAGCACTGTCACATTCCCACAGCTCTTCCCAGCAGCACAGCCAGGGGCCACTGACACCCACAGAACAGAGAGGCCAGGGAAAGCTGAGGGGAGAGATGCTGATGATGGGGCTCAGCTCACACTTTTGACCTGATGTTTCCTCTAGCAGGCACTGATTCAATCCTCAGCCTTTTTGCTCCATGGTGCACCTCCTGTGCCTGTCTCACAGTGGGAGCTGCGCTCAGCTGGCATTCCTGGGAAGAGAAGGAGCTGAGAGCTGCTCTGTGGCCATGAGGAGATGGCACAGATTGTCACAGCTTCTCTGGACAGCCCCTGGAAGTCTCCCAGGCCAGGCTGGACAGTTCTCAGCACTTCACAAAACCTCTCTTGTTTCTTTTCTCTTGATCCAAGTGCTGGAGCATTTCCCAGCTCGCTGGTCCAGGCTCTCCTGAACACCTGGAGGTGTTTTTCTGCACAGTTTATCCCTTGAGCATTTCCCTGCTGCCTCTGTGTGCTGTGATCGAGCTGTTGGGTCTGGAGCACCCTTCTGGCATGGGAACACCTACCAAATGTGGGATGGCTTGTTTTGCTGGGATCTTGGGATTTTGGACACCAGTGTCAGGATTCATAAAACATCCAGGCTTTTTTTGGCACTTCACAGCTGCTCTTCTGACTTTCCCAGTGCTCAGGAGCACTTTATGGTGGGTTTTAGCTCACCATGAAGAAAAACCTTGATATTCCATCTGTAAGTCCCAAAGGCCTTCTCAGCCCTCATGTTACTAAAATTTCCCACAGAACTTTTGTGGAAGTGTTATTTTAAGCCAGCACTTGTGTTTAGCTGTGAATAATTTGGAGTAATTTGGTGGCTTGGGAAGGAACGTGGGTGAACAGTTCACAGTTAAGGATGAACCTTTTCACTATTTTGAGTGTCTGACTGTCCCCATTTGTGCCTCTTTCCCCTTTTTCTGCCCCCCAGACTCGGGGCTGGTGGTGCCCAGCGTGTCCTACGAGCTGCACAAGAAGCTGCTGGCGGTGGCCGAGAAGCACGGGCTGACCCTGGAGAGGAGGCTGGAGATGACAGGGGTGTGTGCCAGCCAGATGGCCCTGAGCCTGCTGGGGGGGCCCAACAGGTACAGCTGGGGTCCCTGGGGGAGGGAAGGGGCTGGCAGGGCCCTCTCAGCTCTGAAATCACACACAAAGCTCAGCTGAGCTTTTCCTTCCCCCTCGCTGGGAGCTGAGCTTTGCACAGGTGCTGCCTGAGGTGGATGGAGCCATGCAGAATGTGTGAGGAGCTCCTTTCTGCACAGAAAGGAACCTTCCCCTTGCTGATGGGGCACATTGCAATTTCACAGTGTCAATTAAAGCAGAAGGCAGCCCGTGAAAACAGCGCTGTGTGGATTTTTGTGAGGCTGGCTCAGCTTTTCAGGCATCTGCAGCTCACCTGGGCACATCCTGCTCTTTGCAGCAGCTTTGGAGAGCACTCAGTGCCTTTTGCTGACTCCTGAAGAGCTCTGCTTCCGTGGCTGTTGCTGTGGGCAGGAACTGCACCTGTGTTTCTGTGCTGTTGATAGCTGCTCCAGATTATTTGCTCTCAAAAAGAAAAGTAACCCTTCAGTCTCCATCTGCTTTTTCAGGAGTGCTTTAGCAGGATCTGCTCACTTACTCAGGAGTGCTTTAGCAGGACCTGCTCACTTATTCAGGAGTGCTTTAGCAGGACCTGCTCACTTATTCAGGAGCTCTTTAGCAGGACCTGCTCACTTATTCAGGAGCTCTTTATTATTTACCTGATCACTTACTCAGGAGCTCTTTACCAGCACCTGCTCACTTGAAAAGCACTGAGTGATGGCACACAGGCAGCTGAAATTCCTGCTGCAAGCCCTGATGCCTTCCAGGCCAAATTAACTTTATCGTGCAATTAATGAAGCTTAGAGAGTAGAAATCATTTTTCTCTGTTTTAATGTGACTCCTCTGATGGGGAAATTCACCTTAAATTTTTAGCTTTTTTCTACACTCCTTGGGACCTTGTGTGAGTGCAGGAAGGGGAGGAGAAGGCTGGAACAACCTCAAAGTATGTGAAGGGGTGTATGAGGAAGCCAGAGAGGGTTCATCAGCAACTTTAAGAGGGGAAATTTAGGTTCAATATGTGGAAGAAATTTTTCCCTGTGAGGATGCTGAGCCCCTGGCCCAGCTGTGGCTGCCCCATCCCTGGGAGTGTCCGAGTCCAGGCTGGACAGAGCTTGGAGCAGCCTGGGCTGGTGGAAGGTGTCCCTGCCCTCAAGGGTGACCTTTAGGGTCCCTTCCACCCAAACAAGTGTGAGCTTCTCTGAACCTGCAGGCAGAGCAGTGTCAGCACCACAAAAGGATGTGGGCTGCTCTGGATTTACAGAACACCTGGCAATTTGCATCTTACTGAGTGGGGGTTTTTTTTTAAATATTTTTTTTTTCTCATGCAGGAAGGAAATAAGAGGCTCTGGGGTTTGCTGACAGTCCCTTTTCCTTGCCTGTGTTGCAGACTGAACCCCAAGAACGTGCACCAGCGGCCCACGGTGGCGCTGCTCTGCGGCCCCCACGTGAAGGGCGCGCAGGGCATCAGCTGCGGGCGGCACCTCTCCAACCACGACGTCCACGTCATCCTCTTCCTCCCCAACTTCGTCAAGATGCTCGAGTCCATCACCAACGAGCTCAACCTCTTCAGCAAGACACAGGGACAGCAGGTCTCCAGTGTCAAAGGT